AAAAAAAAAAAATAGAAAAATTAGCTGGGTGTAGTGGCGTGCACTGGTGGTCCCAGCTGTTAGGGAGGCTAAGGCAGGATGACTGCTTGAGCCGAGGAACTCGAGGATGCAGAGAACTGTGATGATGCCACTGCCCCATAGCCCAAGTACAGAATAAGGCACAAAACAAGACTGTCCCTCCCCCCAAAAAAAGTACATTTAAAAAGAAGCATATTTACATGTAATTAAAGTCAATAACACTTATGAGATCTTTTGGTGTTTAGTGATTTTTAATATATGCCTTGAATTCGTAACTTTTATTATGTAAGGACTTTAACATGGATAAGCTCATTTGTCCTTGAGATGTAAGAAAGGTCAAGAGTTGGTGAAATGATTTTAGAAATGAGATAATTCTCTGAAATCAGTGATAAATTCAAAGATATTTTTAAATAGCTCTTAGAATTCCTCTTGGTCTGTATTTCTAGGCGTCTGAGTTCGTAAAATAGCATTTGTTGTTAAAACATGTTTGTTTTCATTTTCTTTAGGCAAGTAATCTGGGGAGCCCTAGTTATATTTTTGTTTTGTTTTGTTAACTGAGAGTCTTTGTAATTACAGATCAGAAACTAGAATAATGTTAACTTTTCAAGTTTATTGGGATTTTGTGAGCCAAACTGCATTTTGAAGTTGACTCCTGATTAAGCTACATTTGTGAGCTCTGTAGTTCTTGTACTGTGGTTAGAAACGTAATTTGGTTGTCTTTTTCTGGTTGTTGTTCAGTGAAAATTTAGCCTAGGATATGGATATGTTAAATATATATTTCATGAGATTATTATTTATTTAGTATCTGTTCCTCTGTCCCTCCTTTGAAAAGCAGTTATTGAGGAATAAGTAAGGATAGTTAAAATATTGTGTTGTCTTTAATATTTTCTGTTAAATAGAAATAATTGATGTCACCTAGTTTGTTTTATTTAGTCCAGTATTACTTTAGTACGTGTATTTCCATATTTCTCCCCCCCCCAAATAAGGATTATGGAAATGAGAAAAACCAACATATGTTTGTTTGGGATGCCATCTGAGAACTACCCTCTGTAGTGCAGAGTCCCTAAAGCAATAGTTTTATTTAGTTTATAAATACAGACCATTGCTATTCTTGGCTCAAAGAGAAGGTAACCTACTTTTTTCAAATGATGTATTCTGAATTTTAATAATATGGACCTATGTGCCTGTTAGTGTATTGGGGGTATATACAGTTGTTTTACTTTGATATTGTTAAATGCCATGTATTCAGTCTGATTTATAACATGTTTTTGTGGTGGTTTAAAAAATAACTACTAAGCTTTTTTTTTTTAGGCATGTTTAATGTATTTACAACAATTAATTTGAAGAAAACTGTACTTGATCATTGTAATTCTAAAGGGAAAGTAAAATTGTTTGAATTTTACCCTGAAATGTAATTGTATTAAGTGAACAAATTATTTTTTCCAGGCAGACTCCAGGTTAAAAGCGCTTAATGCAACATTCAGAGTGAAAAACCCAGACAAGTAAGGTTTTGTTTTAATAACAGTTACAATGTTGTTTTGAATGGTGCCTATCTATTTAATTTTTCATTTCTGAATGTATGCACTTTATTTGCTAAATAATTAAAATAGTAATTCATATTTAGTGAAATCCTTTTAAAGTTTAAAACTGGTCTTAAAATTTGGTAACTTAATTGGATTTAAGGTTATAAATAACTGAAGTTTTAGAAATTTAAACCACTTCAAGGAAGATTTATCAAATGATGTTGAAAATATCAGATAAATGAGAAAAGAAATTTTAATTTTATGTTTTCCTTATGTGATTTTGCTTGTCAACTATGCACAGAGCTTTAAGATAATTATATATTATATATATTTAATAACAAGTCTGCTTTGTATACCAAGAAAACTTGATAGATGAATGCATATTAGCATAATAATTTCACAGAAAGGTATTTATATGGCAGATAACTTGATTTTATTAATGTCAGCTATTGTTTGTGAGAGTATTTCTGTATCAAAGGAAACTACCGTATTCAGAAATGAATCCCGAAATTTGGTAAATAATTCAGGCTCTTCATCATATGGACCTTTACCTGGCAATTTGGTTCACCTAGAAGAGTTTGTTTCAGTTAGATAAATGCTTAAGCAAAGAGAATTTTCGTTCTGGGAGACCAAATTTATGAGGTCTGTTAAAATTTTTCTAGTGAGTCCTTTAGCATTAACTCTCATCAGACAAAGGCCAAGTTTGCATATTTTGATGACCTATTATGC